CAGATTTCAAGGGAAATGATTCAATGCACAAACGTTAATTGGATTCTACAGCAGACTACAAAGTAGATTAGTATAGGTGAGAAGTATGAAAACTATGTATAACAGTATTCGCAATGAAACATTCAAGTACAAAATCCTTGATAGTTTGTGTGGATCTAAGATTTGATCAGGAGGAATTGATGTGTATTAACTTAGTCAGCTAGAAAATCGACTCATCAATCTCTACTAACGAGCCTGATTGGTCATGGGTTCGATCCCGGATAGCTGAATAATCTTGCATGAGGGAAAGGGATTCTTTAGTTGTCCGGGATCAAACCACATGAGGAAGAGACCACTGAAAGTGGAAGATATAAGAAGGCTTGAAGTGTTTGACCACCACTGCCTTCGTAGACTGCATAAGCTGTATTCCGTGGTGTCACCTACACATCATGTGAGTAATGCAGAAGTTAGGTGTAGATTTTTAGCGAAGGAGTAGAGGTAAATCAGTTGACGACGAGGTTATGAATCTTCATCGATTGAGATGATTGGGACACCTGTTACATATGTCTAGTCGTCGATTGCCTCATCACACAATGTTGGCTGAAGTAGGTCGAGGCTGGAAAAAGGGTGGAGGTGGCCAAACTAAAACATGACACCAATGTATGAAGTCTGTGAGTGTTGATTTGAGCCATGTTGGTGGGCGATGCAGACTAAGTGGGATCCGCAGGACAAGAGAAACCAGTGGTTGGAGACTGACTGTAGGTGACCACATGTCTGAGAACCGATGTCAGTGGCACAGATGTATCCACACACACATTATCCTCACCTTAACGACTCTACACCGACTCCCACCACTTTCTCATTCTTCCCTTCTTTCTTCTCGTACTTTATATTTCTTTTGATTACATTCTCTTATCTTGATTTTGGACTTCACTGCCTTTCTACTTGATGTAGTGATATGAGGTGTGGCAAGTGGGACCGTTACGCAGTAACGCCTGGTCCTATGTTGGTATTGATTGACTGATTGATTGCCTAAGGAATAAAGATCAATGATTTTCTCCGACTGATGTCAGTCAACGGTGAATACCTACTTAAAATGAATAAAATCTCTTAATAATTATTATTATTATTCGTCCCTTGGGTTTCACTGGTGGAACATAAGGATTCAGTTGCACATAGCTATTTCACTGTCTTCCCTACAGTCTTCTCAACCTGGTGGCATGACTGTTCACAAGCTTTTATTTCTTCCTCACACCATCTCCTACATGTCACACTGGCCTCGGACGCTCAACTCATAGTTTTCCATTTCGGTTCCACTCGACGGTATGACCTGGTACGTGATATCCTCAGTTGGTCTTTTCAGTGTATCTTCAATCCAATCCAATCCATCTCCATTTCCTTCTCCTGAATATTTGTTGGACGATAGGTTGTCGATTGATTAGTTCGTTGTGAACCAGAGTTACTTGTTGTTTATTCTTTCTCGCCCTCTCATCTGATCATCAGCATCGAGTGACCGTAGGTGGCAGCTGTTGGTGAATATCTATAGTTTGTTGGAAATGCTTCTCGTAACGCACCGTCAACTCTCTCAACCATTACATAGAAGAACTGACTTGACTGACTTAGAGTTGACAATCCGGATGTTGTTCACGCTTTGTGATGAGTACAGTAGATCTCCATACTGATCTCCGATCCTGGTTGGATTTGACATCCTCGTCTGTGCCGCCTGTAGTTGAAACGATGCTGCCAAGTTAGGTGAAAGAGACTACTTCCTTCAGGTTTCTCCCGTTAATGGTGATTGGTGCTTGTTGTTGAGTATAGTTGAATGAACACTCTTTGTTTCTGCTTGTTATAGTTAGATGTAGATTAGTTTCAGCTAAGTAAGGTCTGTTCCTTAAATAGTTAATTTTCGATAATGACCCAGTCAACATTTAGAAATGAATTTCTTTTCTATAACAATAAAAAAAGAAACCAAAGTAACCTTACCTAGGTAACTAGTTCACTAGTTACTAGGCGGTCCTAAGCTTGGATAAAATGGGAAGGTTTAGTATAGTAACTAGAAGCCCTTACCGTGTAATACCAATCGAATCGTTAAAGAAACTTCAATCAAATCTTTACCAACCTTCAAATTGAACTGTTTCATAAATTTAGATTATACACTTCAATACTATCACAGATTATAATCAAAATCTACACTTTTTCTATAAAATATAATGTAACCCCCCTAATCTGAAAGGGATTTCCAATAAACTACAGACATTCATCAACAACTGCCACCTACGCTGGCTCGTTACTGAAGATCAGATGAACGACCAGAAAGAATAAGCAACAAGGAGCTCTGGGAACGAACTAACCAAGAACCTATCACCCAACAAATATGCAGTGGAAGGAAGTGGAGATGGATTGGGCATACACTGAGAACGCCGACTGGGGACATCACGCGCCAGACGAGGTACTGGAGTGGAACCCCGATGGGAAGCGATGAGTTGGACGTCCGAGGGTGACATGGAGGAGGAAATGAGAGCTTCTGGGCTGTCGTGGAACCAGGTTCAACAGATTTCAGAGAACAAAGTTCACTGGAGACGTGCTACTGAAGCCCTATGTTCCATTAGGAACCCAAGGGACTAATAATAATAATAATCTGAAGCTTACTGCAGTTAAGTTCCAGTCCATACCTCAGTATGCCGCCTTATCAAATATCCGAATGGCTTTAGTCTATGCTGAATAGACATCGACTGTGCTCTCACTTTTCCAATATTTCTCCAATTGATATCATTTCTTGATAAATATCAATATGGAATCAATAAATAAATCCCCCAAAAATCTCAACATTGAATTAATCTCTACTTCTAATTGTTGAGTAGCTTCGAAAGCTTTGAACCCTGACAACATCATAGGCACGTACTGCTGAAGAGTCTCATATGGGGAAGAAACAGTTTTCCAGTATTTGATAGCTTCTTTTCAATAATACTTAGTTATGAAATTTGTACGTTTCATCAACTATCATTGAAACCTTCTTAAATCATCACCTGTCCGGTCATAGTTCATCAATGAAGTACCCAATAACTTCAGAGCTTTGCTTATAAATAACAGTCGTCGCAGTTACAGGTTTACAATATACCCTGATTTATCCACTTCGGACTATACAATTCAGGTAGTATTGTAAGTCCTAAAGCAATGAATAACTGTGGTTTTTAGTAGCAAGTGATAAAACAGCCAATCAGATTTCTGTATTCTATGAAATACCAAAATACTACAATCTGATTGGTTATTTTGGTAGTTATTAGGATGGCCAAGTAAACAACCATCTGGCATGAAAATTAATCCAGTCCATCTGAAAGAACGCATAGATTTAATTATTCTCATCCGTTTTCTAATATATGTCATCAGCTCATAAGATTTTCGACAACCGCTGATGATGTCTTATTTCCAGAGTTTTATCAGACTGTCTATTACACCTAGAATTTATTGTCTCAATCGAAATAGATCTGAATCAAAAAGTTGGAAAGCGGAGGAGAGGTAAAGCATAGTACTGATTCCTTTGCTGCGACTACAAGTTGAGATAACTGCGATTTGGCAGATTCATGTCATTGTTACTGGGTGAAGATTATAGTAGTAGTAGTAGTAGTAGTAGTAGTAGTAGTAGTAGTAGTAGTAGTAGTAGTAGTAGTAGTACTATAGTGTAGTATAGTATGGTATAGCGTGGTATAGTATGCTATAGTATAGTATCAGTCAGTCAATCAATACCAACCTAGGATCAGGCATTACTGCGTAACCGTCCCACTTGCCACACCTCATATCACTACATCAAGTAGAAAGGCAGTGAAGTCCAAAATCAAGATAAGAGAATGTAATCAAAAGAAATATAAAGTACGAAAAGAGAGAAAGGAAGAATGAGAAAGTGGTGGGAGTCGGTATAGTGTCGTTAAGATGAGGATAATGTGTGTGTGGATACATCTGCACCACTGACATCGGTTCTCAGACATGTGGTCACCTACAGTTAGTCTCCAACCACTGGTTTCTCTTGTCCCGTGGACCCCACGTAGTCTGCATCTCCCTACATGGCTCAAATCAACAGTCAGAGACTTCATACATTGGTGCAATGTCAACCGCCCTCACAACTCTGTCAGCACTGAATTTTCTTCTGACTGCTATCCACCTTCTCCATCATTACCTTCTAATCTCCCGTCACGTCTCTCAACTAACGATAGTATAGTATAGTATGGCGTGGTATAGTATAGTATAGTGTAGTATAGTATAGTATAGTGTGGCGTAGTATAGTGTAGCGTAGTGCAGTATGGCATGGTATAGCATGGTGTAGTACGGTACAGTGTATTATATATAGTGTGGTGCAGTGCAGTGTAGTATAGTATGGCATGGTATAGTTTAGTGTAGTGTAGTATGGCATAGTGTAGCATGGCACAGTACAATATAGTATAGTATAGTGTGGTGCAGTATAGTATATTATGGAATGGTATAGTATGGCGTGGTAAGGCATACTATGGCATGCTATAGTATGGTGTGGTATAGTACAGTATAATCTAGCGTAGTATAGCATGGTGTAGGATACCACACTATAGTATAGTATAGTATAGTATGGTATAGTATAGCATAGTATTAGTATAGTATAGTATAGTATGGTATAGTATGGTATTAGTATAGCATAGTATGGTATAGGATAGTATAGTATTAGTATAGTATAGTATATTATAGCATAGTATAGTATAGTACAGTATAGTATAGTATAGTATAGTAGTAGTAGTAGTAGTAGTAGTAGTAGTAGTAGTAGTAGTAGTAGTAGTAGTAGTAGTAGTAGTAGTAGTAGTAGTAGTAGTACTAGTACTAGTAGTAGTAGTATGAACATTGTTAAAGACAAACACCTTCATTTCATGTGTAGTGGGTCAGAAACATTAGTGCGAAATAATCAAGGTAATTATACATTATTATTATTATTATTATTATTATTATTATTATTATTATTATTATTATTATTATTACCATAAATCATCTAAAGTATTACTCACCTTTTACAGATGCTGTCCGCTTACAATTGTACAATAGTGCCAATTCACCGAAACATCGACCAGCTCCCATAACATAAAGACGTTTACCGCCTTTTGAAACTTCAAATTCACCTTCTGATGAAGAAAAGAAATAATAAGACATAGGAAAATAGTTAAACAGTATTGTAACAGTAACAATTCTAATACAAGATGATACAATACTGAGAATATGATCAAGCCTGATTGAGATAGTAAAGTCCAGTACAGAAATACCGAAAGTTTAAAGAACATCTTCAGACTCTGATATAAATGTTTTCCCAGTATTTTATTCATTAAAAAGCTACATTCAAAGTCATGACCAAATGATATAGAAGTTTAATGTTAGTCAACAAACCACAACTCTGTATGAAGTATATATCAATGTTAATGTTGTATTCTCTGTGCTGAGATAATTTAATTATGACACTTTCATCATTGTCATCATTAGTAGTAGCCCCATAAACTTGAGAAAAAAGTTAGCTATGGAATTTCTACTATAAATGACTTGATAACTTGAACCAATGATCTTGTGCATGATTGGTTATTCTGATGACATGAACTATGACCTTGTTGTCGCTTCCGATTGGTTAATAGATTGGGTCAATCTTTCAAACCTGGCTCCACCATTGCCCACAAGCTCTCATTTTCTTCCTCATACGATCTCCTTCATGTCAACCTCGCCTCTTACACCCGATTCGTCCTTTCCCATTTGGGTTCCACTCGAGTACCTGGCCTGGCGCGTGATATCCCCAGTCGCCCTTCTCAGTGTATGCTCAATCCGTCTCCACTTTCTTCCACTGCATACTTCTCAAGTGGTAGGTTCTTGCTTCATTGGTTCGTCACCAGCCAGATATCCTTGTCACTGATTCTTTCTGGCCATCTCATCTTCAGTAACGAGCCAGAGTAGGCGGCAATTGTTGATGAACATCTGTAGTTTGCTGAAAATGTCTTGGTAACGTGCCAAGTCTCTGAGCCATAGTGAAGCACTGATTTGATGTTGGTGTTGAAAATCCAGATGTTGTTCCACATGCTGAGCGCAGAACATCTCCAAATTGGTTTCAGGCTATTGAACGCTTGTCTGACTTTCTGGTTGACGATGAATTATTCAAACACCTTTAGATGAAGTTGCGTGGGAAACAGTTATCAAACAGTTTTCTTCCTTTCATCGCAAGGTTGATGTACTACAGTGTGTCTGTGTGTACTGTTGGTCTACTGCTATTGCTGTTGAAGATTTGATCTATATAAGTTAGTTTTCTGTATACACTTCAGTTTCCAATTACCCCGGGTCTATTCTTGTGATGAGAACATGAGAGTTCACTATTCGATTCTTCTTCAATTGTGTGAATTTGAAAAAGGTTGCAGATTGATTCGTAAGGGTTTTCGATTAGTTTCTTTTAATGATGAACAACATTGCAAGGAAGGAAAGGTACCTGCAGATTGGAAGAGGGGTTGCCTTATCAAACTGCCAAAGAGGGGAAACGTAAGTCTTCGCAAGAACTGGCGCGGAATCATGATTCACCACTGTCCAACCCAAGCGAAATATAAAGCCGTACCATCCTGGGGGGACTAAACAGTGCTCCGCATTGAAAACTACGAACCGGACACGATGACTGGCTTCAGGAAAAACGAATCGTGTGCCGATCAAATTGTAACCCTACGCATCATCATAGAACAAAAGATAGAACGTCAGTCAACTCTCTACTTCAACTTCATTGATTTTCAAAAGGCCTTCCTTCGACAGCGTCGACCAAGAAGTAATTTGGCAGCTGCTGCTTCAACACGACGGTTTTAGTGACACAAAGATTCATCAACCTCACTCAACAGCAGCCATATGCAATATTAGGATGCTACATGCCAAGTCATTCACAATGGAAAGCTCAGTGATACCTGTGAAGTGAAGATAGGAAGTAGTAAGACAAGGTTGCCGCCTAATATCAACAATGGTCTTCTTTATTGCGGTTGACTGGACTGGGTCATGCAACAAACTGTGAGGAGCAAGAAGATGGATATACGCTAGCTGCTTGACCGATGAAAAGACCCTAGAAGATTTGCATTTCACCGATGATGGTTTATGTCTAATGTCTAATGTCATACAAACTTGAATATCTACAGGTGAAAACTAACAAGTTGGCAGAAAAGGCAGTGAAGAGACGGCGAAGACGGGACTTCCTTCACATGAACGTAGAGAAGATACAGGCAGCATCGTTTCAACTACAGGTGGTACAGGCACAGATGACAATGTCAAAACCAGTCAGGATCGAAAAGAAAGCAAGACAAACCTTCCTGCGTTAATCTGAAATCAGTGTGGAGATCTACTACACTGCATTGCACTCAGTATAAAGCGTGAACAGCATTCGGATTTTCAACAGTAAAGCAGTCAAGTCAGTGCTTCTATGTAGTGCTGAGAGAGTTGGCGTGTTACGAAAAACATTTTCAGTAAACTACAGATATATATGAACAGCTGTCGCCTACGCTTACTCCATATTGAAGATTAGACGGCGAGAAACAATAAGCAACAAGGAACTCACTCTGGCCTGGCAACGAACCAACCAACCAAGAACCCATCGTCCAACGAATATGCAGAAGAAGGTGGAGGTGGATTGGGTATACACTGAGAAAGCCAATCGGGGACATCACGCGCAAGGCCAGGTACTCGAGTGAAACCCAAATGGGAAAGGACGAATTGGGCGTAAGACGCGAGGGTGACATGGAGGAGATCGTGTGAGGAAGAAATGAAAGCTTATGGGCAGTGGTGGAACGAGGTTGAAAAGACTGTCGAGAAGAGAGTGAAATGGAGACGTGCTAATGAAGCAGTATGTTCCACTAGGAACCCAAGGGACACTATCATCCAACCACTAGGTTGGGATATAATCGTCAACGTTTTCCTACTTCTACCATTTTGCTATATGGCACGACTATCCATCAAGGTCTTCAGATGGCATTCGATTCACTTACGAGTGGTCGACCCTGCAGATCATAATTTCTTATTCGTACTTTTGAACAAAGAAATCAATTGATGAGTGTTGTGAACCTTAGTTGACTGAGATGGCCTAGATATGTACTGCGAAAAAAACTACTGCCTACCTGATATCCTCACAAGTGCGTCACTTCAAACTACTACACACTTCACAGTAGTATACAACAAAGAACAGATGGACAGGTTAAGAGTGATATCAGTCTATACATAACAGTCAGTGTAAATATTCAAGCTTTAGATTTCAATGAATGCATTCAACTGCGCCACTGTGATATACATTTAACCATATCAATAAAAGTTCTCAATGCGTGATTCCTATCGTCTTGAAGACACCAGCCAAGTATAGTCTAAGTCACCCTAAATGGCGAAGACAGTAAGAGACTATCATCGAAGGACGCCAAGTCTTCGTCCGGCTACTCATAGAAGTACACAATGGCTCGACATTTGTGGTGAAGTAAATGTTAGTGCAATCTACAACATTTTCAAACAAGAGTCTTCAACCATACAAACAGGCAGTAGTATACATCTTCAAACATGGCTCAGATAAACAGTTAGAGACTTCATCGAATCGTATCAGGTCTTGGTTTGATCATCCTGAGCCGTTTAACAACTTAATCCACCTCCCCATTAACATGACACGTCAGGAAAGGCGGTGGTTCGGCATTCACGGTGAAGTATCTGTCCAAAGCATCTAAGTCGAATAAGGTTCACAACCTCATCAATCAACTCGCTTGTCTTGCCGCCTAGTATCCATCACCTCACTTCAACATTGTACACAGTGATCATTCCATCAAATACCAGCAACCCTATGAAGACATCACCTTAAAAGGTAACTCATCAATGTTAAGAGCTACTTCATTGTGTTACCAGTAAAGTTTTCACTTCAACCTAAAACTCGACTATACACAGTAAATGTTAATAGTAGTAATACTAATGATGGGTGTTAATTGAATATGAAATGTAATGAAAATCTGTGTCTCAGCGGGGTTCGAGCCAGCAACCTATAGGTTTCCTACCTTAGCCTCTCCTCTGCCAACTTCTCACCAGATGTTGTCACCCAATTATCATATGAATTCATGATACTCAACTGTCCAGTCATCATCATCATCATCATATTCCCACATTGTGACTGCCTGCCTAATCTTACTGGCGATTCAAGTGAAGTGAGATCATCATAATCAGTGAAGTGAGATGATTTTTAATTGTCATCCCTCTTAACAATGTTCTCACCCTCCCCTTTTTTCATTCATCGATAATAATCATAATCATGAGCATGACAACAACAACAACAACAACAAGAACGCAAGCTGAAAAACTATTCAACCATTTTGTTTTTGCATAATTATTGTTATTGTTTTTCAATACAAAATGAAGGGAACATGGAAATTTCAAACTCATATGGTCACGTTATTATTATGATTACTACGAAGTTAAATCTGCATTCCCTTTTGTTTGCTCTCTTCTCCTTCTTCTTCTTCTTCTTCTCCGTAAAACGATAACAACATGATCACATTTAAACAATAATTGGATAAATGATTGATTATTGATTCACTGTGATAGACAAGGAGAGAGAGAGAGGCGAGGTGAGGTGAGGCGGGTAGATCATTATCTCTGTACTACACCTTATGAAATATTCTTCTAGGATTATGATGATGTCAATGTACAATGATGATGCGATGAGTAGTAGCTCAGACCAAGACTGTATGGAATTCAAAGCACCAACAACTTTGACATGAGATGACTAATTCAGTGTTCTCAGCTCTTGGCTGAATGGATCATTCCTCTGCAAAACATGATTGTAAGCTCCCCTATCAGCCAAACTACTCTCTCCCTCCATTACTTTCTCTCTGTGTGTGTGTGTGTGTGTGTCTGTGTATGTGTATCACCTTAAACACACTGGAGTGTTACCTTCTCGGTTAGTGATTCATCAGACCACCCCTTCACAATATTCAAGTTGATCACTGAATTCTCTTCTAACACCCCTTTCTATACTCACACATAATATGCGTGAATAAGTTAAGACACACAGTTGAATTCTCGTATTTAGCTGTACTACGGTTACACTCTTATGCGATTTCTCCTTGTCCTCCGGTGGACAGGGGTGAGAATAAACGAGATACTCAGTATCAGATAGATATGCGTGACAGTAGTTGGTTGTCTGCTAGAACCTAAATGTCTGTCATCTACAGTATTGATCAGTTGAGCTAGAGATACACCACTCACCCTCTACCAACACCTTTCAAAGTCCTACACAATATAACACACAGTCCATTTTTAGTGCTACACCAGGAGAGATCAAAGGGGAACAGAACAATTTGGAGAAAGGATGGGGTAAAATGCTGACAGTTAGTCATATCACAGTATCCGTTTAGCTGATACAATCATCTTAAATGTAAGATTTTCTTCGGAGTCAACAAGACGATCAACAAACATCAGAAGTGAAACATAATCCACGATAGTTGACACTCCATATACTTTCTACAGGAATTCACGTCAACACGAGTCGTGGAACAGCTCACACAAGTCTTGTCCACATTTGAGGCTGACATCAATCAACACTCAGACATTTGGAAGGGTTTTTAACTCGAGACCATTCGATAGACAGACAGACAGACAGAGGCGGAGAGACCAGTGACCAATTCCACACACGAAACAATTCAACTCAGATACAATCTAAATGAGAGTTAACTGGCATAAACACCGTCACGTCATCAGCATACTATAATAATCAGTTTCAACAGAATGAGGTGAATCGTGGAAGAAAAAACGGAGAAAGTACACCTCCTTGAGGCAGACCGACTTCAGTGAACTTCAGTAAAGTCGACTAGTTCAGTATATTGTCGACTTTCAGAGAAGTGAGAATCCAGCCAGTTTTTGACCAATGGCTCAGTATAAGCAAAGCAAAGACAAGTTTATTAACCAAGAGGAGTCTAGGAACGGAGTCAAAGGTTGGTGTGTAGTCCAAGAAGTCACAGTAAACATACCAACTTGCCAACATTGTCTAGTCCATAAACAATAGTGAAATGATGCAAGACAGTGACAGCATATAAACTACTTCACTGTGTCTGGAAGAAACTGTTTACGATCTGTGGAAACCTTCAATGAAGGCTCAATCACAAGGAGAAGTAAATTCTTCATTGTCTCCGAAAAACAGGAAGTTATAGTGATGCCTCGAAACTTAACATCTCTGATATACAAGATGACTTAGGCACATGTACAGCTTTGATCACCTTCCAAACAGTGGGGGTATTATACTTTTCGAAAGTAATCCTTCGAAGATATTTGTGTGAAGATGATGTGAAATATCTAAACTTTTCAATGGATTCAAGGATTTCAGACATTTGAAAACATCATTTGTGTTAAAATCAGAAGACCAACTATCCTGACTGACGTTATAGATGGCTCCTTCTTCAACCTGCAGACATCAGAACAATCTTCCTTCTTATGTTATCTGTTTTCCATATATTGGGAGATTTCTTACACCATAGAAACGTTGTATAGTTCAGACTTCATTATACAGTCAAGTCTCTCTTAACGCCAAGGTGATTTTTCGCATTATACGCAAAACTTCCATTTTCTCTCTGAAGCCTCTTGAGATGAGGAGACGAATGTTTGTCAAATTGTATGAAGATTATTCCAACAGGGCAGCAAATGTTAAAACGCAATCTCAGATAGTCGTTGGTGATATTTATGATAATTTTGTTATCTGAGCATCCCTGTCAAATTCACCATCTGCTCTCACTTAGCTTACATACATGATTGTTGCTAATCATCACCAAGGTGTATTGGCTCCCTCGAGGAAACCAACTAACATCGTAGCCTGATGGCCACATTGTGAGAATGATCAACTGAATTCAGTCATCAATCAATCGTCACCTGAATAGTTAAGTGATAACATGGTTGACTGCAGCAGTATGTGAGGTGGGTTCCATTCTCAAAAGGGACATCATCATCTCTCTCTCTCTCTCTCTGTCTGAAAATTTCAACTTTTACACAACCTGCATTTACCATATAGTAAATGTCAAGAGGAGAAGATAATCTAATTTTAAGATTTTTAGAGAATAATTGATTGTAGCTGATTTGGTAAATCGCCGAGCCGGTATTCTAGTAGTCGCTGGTTCGAATCCGGCCGCAGTCCAGAAAACTCTAATAATTGCTTGATTTTACATTGACATTCATTATCGATTGATATCAATTGAAGAACACTATTAAAACAGAAGTCTAGCGGCATTGGACAACTGCGAAACTCCCTAACGGTGTACATCCATAATCACCAATCTCCGCCCATACCAGGGGTCGGACCGAGGACTCTGAGGTCACCATTAAATGAGTCACTTGGCTGGCATCTAATGACCGAAAATTTACCCTTCTTCTATCACTTCATGATGATTCTAGCCCTCGTTGACGACTCCCTTCGAGAGTTTAACGACAGTTGAGTAAAAAAGCTTATCCAATTTATATAAAACAAAAGATCAACGATTTTTTTAAAATTATCACCTAGGTACATACATAAACCCATTACCTTAAAGTATGACTTTCATCCATATGAAGTCAAACAAAACGCCTAACAACAACAACACCAACAAGACAAGACTTGTTCACCAATGTTTCAAACTGGGTCATACACTACTGTATAGAATTATGTACAAGTAAGTAATATAGCATGATTTGCGAGAATATGAATTTTAATTTACATAAACTTCTTAAATAAAGAAAATTAAGATAAATATATGTAAATTTAAAGCAATTTAATTCTACTTTCACACTAAATTGTAAAGGTGTATGTATTTCTTTTCTCGTGTTTCGTATTAATTAGCACTCATCAGTAAGGCGTATATATGTAACCTAAACGGAACTGATATATCTCCCTCCCCCCCATCTAAGATTCGAATCCATATCACACACAGTTTTCTAGTCAATGACACTTTTTTTACCGCCCAAGTTTCGTCCCTTTTGGCATTCATCAGTTGACTGTCATTCTATGCTCTGTTCTGTGATGATGAGTAACGTTGCAATTTGGTTTGCACATGAATTGTTCTTCCTGAATCCAGCCCATTTTTTAGTCTCTTCAGGATGATGTGGCTTAATATTTTGCTTGGAGTGGACAGGAGCATGATTCCTCGCCAGCTCTTGCAAAAACTTAGATCGCCCTTCTACGGGAGCTATAGATAATACATCACCAAACAGCTTGGTTCGGGTTAGGTATCGTTCAATTAGTTATCATTATTTGAACCTGGCTCCACGACTGCCCAGTAGCTCTCATTTCTTCCTCACATGATCTCCTCCATGTCATCCTCGCCACAGACGCCCAACTTGTGGCTTCCCCTCTAGGTTCCGCTCGAGTACCTGGTCTGGCGCGTTATGTCCCCGAATGGTTTTCTCAGTGTATGCCCAATCCAATCCAATCCATCTCCTTTTTTCGCTGCTGCATATTTGGTTGGTGATAGGTTCTTGGTTGGTTCGTAGTCAGACAGAGATCCTTGTTGCTTATTCTTTCTCGCCATCTGATCGCCATCTTCAGAATCGAGTCAGTGTAAGCAGGTGTTGATGAATGTCTGTAGTTTGTTCGAAATGCTTTTCGTAACGCGGCAAGTCTCTGAATAGTCTTATAGCAACACTGACCTGGCAATGGTGTTAAAAATCCGGATCTTGTTCTTTATGCTGAGTGCAGTAGATCTCCACACTAGTTTCAGGTTAATGAACATCTGTCCTGCTTTCCCGATCCTAGTTTTGACCTCCTTGCCTTTGCCGCCTGTAGTTGAAACGATGCTGCCCGCCTAGGCAGGTAGGTAGGTTAAAGAGGCTACTTCCTCTAAGTTTCTCCCGTTGATGGTGATTGGAGCTTGTTGGTGGTGGTGGTGGTGGTGGCGTTAGTTGGATATCTTCATCACCTCTGTATTCTCTACGTTCACCTGAAGTCAGTTCCGTCTTCGCTGCCCTGCCTCTTCTCTCAACTTGTTAGTTTTCGCCTATAGATCTTCGAGTTTGTGCCACATTAGACGTAAATCATCACCATCGGAGAAATCCAAATCACCTATGATCTTTTCCCTGGTCTTCTCGTTACTCACTATTTGTTGTATGATCCAATAGACCACAATCAGGAAGATCATAGGTGACAGTAGACAGCCTTGTTTCATTCCTGTTTTCACTTCAAATCCATCACTGAGCTTTCCATTGTGAATTACTTGGCATGTGGTGTCTTCATATAGTTGTTGAATGAAGTTGATGAAAGTTTGTGGTATTCCGTAGTGTTGAATCAGCAACTACCTGCCAAATTACTTCTCAGTTGACGCTGTTGAAGGAAGGCCTTTTCAAAGTGGATGAAGTTGAGGTAGAGTTGAGTTGACTGTCATTCTATACTCTGTTCTATGATCATGCGAAGCGTTCGCACATGATTTGTTCTTCCTGAATCTAGCCCATCTTTTAGTCTCTTCAGGATGATGTGGCTTACTATTTTGCTTAGGGTGGACACGAGCATGATTCTTAACCAGCTCTTGCAAAGACTTAGATAGCCCTGTCTTCGGAAGCTATAGATCATACATCACCAAGCAGCTTGGTTTAGTGAACTGATTCAACTACCCAAGTGAATAAAATGATCGATAGATTTGTTTCATAATAATATGAACTTACCGGCACCAACATATAAATGTCCACCATCATCACCTTCACGTATAATATAACAATTCGCTGCAACAGTTTGTTCATGCATACATGAAACAACTTCTTGTAGTTGAACAGCATCCAAATTCTTAATTAAATCATTACTTCTTAAAGCTTCACGAATTTGTCGACGTGAACTAGGATACAATAACAATAATGATAGATAAAAGTGAGTATTATAAACATATACGAGGATACTATTCATTGGAAATTGACATTAGTCAACAAGAAACTAGAAACCTGGAAGTACTAGGCATCTGTTTCGTTCTATTATGTGATTGGTCAGTAGTGCGCACCTATGACTCTACCAGGGATCCAACCCAGGAACTTCACGTTCCGTAACCAGAAATGGTACCATTGAGCTACCCACTAGGTTAGAATCCTATAGTTTGTACAGTTTCATACCCTGTCAATTCTTCGTACATCACGTTGATTATTATTCCTCATATCCGACTTGGTTGTCTCCCCCCCCCCCCCCAATAGACCACAACCCCTTTTATATCACTTACGTACGATCACTAAAGGTTTATGGTGATTTATTGATTTCAAGGTGGTACTCATCACGGATTGACATCAATTCAATCTCAGACAGGTTCATGTGTGAACTGCTGAGCAGTCTGATAATGAGATAAGTGACCATCAATCTAAGCTTTCCGACGGCTTTCGAATTGATATCAGTCTGTAATGAATCAATCTATCCCCACAAACCTCAAAAGTACACTAAACATTTTGTCAAACAAGCAACAACATACTACTCAACGTGGTGTATATTTCTTTCAGTGGACAGAAATTTCATCGATTGACTGTCTACTCCTCTTTAACCTCCTTCAAAACTTTCCAAGTCCATCTCACATGAATATGTATTCCTTATCACAAGCAGGTGTCACTAATTCCATGGACTGTAAAGTTGGAAGGGAGTATCGAATGACGGAGAAACGAAGAAGTATGATACAAGAAGGAGATGCGATTCGTCACCTTGTGCAGTAGACAGGTAATAAGCCATACCTTTTGTCTCATGAGTAGTGAAACTACTTGGCTGGCTGGCTGGCTGGCTGGCTGGCTGGCTGCCCATACCACAGTAAATGGGGAAGTGGTCGAACATGTGACTCATTCTTCATTCAGAGTCATCTACATAAACTACTGAGTTGCACATCGATTACGAAAATCAAGCAACAAAAATAATTCTTGTATAATAGTTAATGATGGATAATGGCTAGTAGTAGTGGGATACAGGTCGTCGCATATTTAATCCTACTTGGGACTCGTCAACTGGATGTAACTGCTTCACATTCACCAATGTTTTCTCCAACAGAAAGAACTCCATCCAACTCGGGATAGCCATAGAGGTTATAGGTTTAAGAGTAAGTTTATCGATTCTGTGATGCTTATTATTACAAATTGATTCCTTCTAAGAGTTATGATTATTTAATTACAAATCATGGTTATCATGACTCGTTGATTGAGTGAGTGGATTACGCTCTCTGATTTGATGAGTTCAGTGGTGGGTTCGACTGGTGTGTGGTGGGGAAGAACACTGGTGACTACCAGTGGGCAGGTACACTCAGCTGACGACGAGATCCATATAAGACGAAACGAGCATCAAGCTACATCTCACAGTTAACGGTTACCCATCTCCAAAATATAATTCACAGTCAAGCAATATCAAGGTATCCATCAGTACAGGAGACTATAAGCCAACACACAGGCCAATCAATTCGGTTCACTCAACCACACAATATGATATATGAAATTGTTTTCGTTTCATTTCTATTGTGGTGTTCCATCGTTTCTTATTTTCAACATGTAGCATAAAGATACTTTGATCAACAAGTCAGTGATCCATTATGATTATCATTGTTATTAGTATTATTATTATTATTATTATGATAACTATTGTGTGCAGAACTGATCAACATTGTACATTGATCAATCTGTTCACGTTTCGTTTATTGATGTTGTTGTTGTTGAAGAACATCGTCATTTTCAGAGATGAACTTTGAGTTGTTCCTTTTTTTCACTCTTTTATTGATTCGACTGAAGGAATTCACCTAGTTATCATAATACAATCTGATTGATTATGCAAAAATAGTCATGTGTATACACATGATCTTAGCTCAGAGAGCCGAGAAGCGACCGGAACAGCAGGCTTCAGGAAGTACAAATCATGTGCAGACCAAATTGCAACGCTTCGCATCATCATAGAACAGAGCATAGAATGGCAATCACCTCTCACCTCAACTTCATCGACTTTGAGAAGGCCTTTGACAGCGTCGACCGAGAAGTAATTTGGAAACTGCTTCAATACTACGGAGTACCGCAAACCTTTATCCGCCTCATTCAACAACTATATAAAGATGCCACATGCAGGCCAAGTAATCCACAATGGGAAGCTCAGTGATGCCTTTGAAGTGAAGACAGGAGTGAAACAAGGTTGCCTACTATCCCCCATGATATTCCTGATTGTGGTCGACTGGATCATGCAGCAAACAGTAGGCAGCAAGAAGAGGGGGATACACTGGACGGCGGAAAAGAACCTAGAAGACTTGGATTTCGCCGATGACTTGTGCCTAATGTCACATAAACTTGAAGATCTGCAGGCAAAAACTAACAAGTTGATAGAAGAGGCAGCTAAGACGGGACTTCAGGTGAATATAGAGAAGACAGAAGTGATGAAGATACCGCACCACCACCATCAACGACAACAACAAACTCCAGTCACCACCAACGGGAGAGAAAGGAAGTAACCTCCTTCACTTATCTAGGAAGCACTGTTTCAACTACAGGCGGGACGGACGAGGACGTCAAAGGCAGAATCGGAAAAGCAAGACAGGTGTTCATTAGCCTGAAACCAGTGTGGAGATCTTCTGCACTCAGCATGTGGAACAAGATACGGATTTTCAACACCAACGTCAAGTCAGTGCTCTTGTATGGCTCAGAGACTTGGCGCGTCACGAAAGTCATTTCCAATAAACTACAGACATTCATCAACAACTGCCTACGCTGCCTCGTTACTGAAGATCAGATGAACGCCAGAAAGAATAAGCAACAAGGAGCTCTGGGAACGAACCAACCAAGAACCTATCACCCAACAAATATGCAGGAAGAAGTGGAGATGGATTGGCCATGCACTGAGAAGGCCGACTGAGGACATCACGCGTCAGGCCCTCGAGTGGAATCCCCATGGGAAGCGACGAGTTGGACGTCCGAGGGTGACATGGAGGAGGTCGTGCGAGGAGGAAATGAGAGCTTGTGGGCTGTCGTGGGACCAGGTTCAAAAGATCTCAGAGAACAGAGGTCACTGGAGGCGTGCTACTGAAGCCCTATGTTCCACTAGGAACCCAAGGGACTAATAATAATAATAAGTCATGTGTATGCATCTATTTGACTGTGAATACTACTACTACTACTCTACTACTTAGTCAGTGTGGTAACCAACCGCCAACAGCATAAAACCTCGAGTAACCACTGCTGACTTCATGGATTAATGGTCAATGTGGTTCTATAGATTTTTTTACTTTTATCCAAATGTACTGATTACTGCAGCTGAGATTTGGGATGATAGTAGATAGTGGTTTAAGTGTTCTGACTCAATTGTGAATATTGTAGTCGGAGACGACCAGACAATTCACAAGTATGTCAATCATTGATGTCAGTTTGTAAACTGAAATACATCTTGCATTTCCAGACTACAATGGATAGTATTCATCACAGATCTATTCAAAAGAAGCATGAGAGTACTGGAGAGCCGTCTCATCGTAATATAGGAAGGACTCTTCAATAATGTACGCATGCGCGACACTGTCGAAGATCGAACTCAAGATATCCAGGTTTCATGATGAATTCATTCAGCATTCGGTCAGTTTCCAACTTCTACTATTTCGTAATATACCGCTATTATTCACCAAAGTCTTAGTGGATATCCACTTCATTTCTGACTGATTGATCTCACTGGTCACCAAGTTGTAGGTGAGTTCCTGCTGACGAGTTGCATACTAGGACAGAATAGCTGTCCATTGCTGATATATCATATCACTTGTGTGATATGTTCGATCAGAATACTAATTTAAACTGAGTAATTATCATGTTTGATGGAGAAGGGATATGAAGCCTAAATCCTGAACACAACAGACCCTACCGCCGAAAAAACCACTGCTTCATCTATATCGAGATTTCATATATCATTTAAATGTTGACAGAGTCATCAGAAAGGAGAACACCGAACTCTACTATTATCACTCAATGCCTTGTAACAAAGTGACAAACGATGAACAAACATCTATGTGATCGCGTTACCATTTCACTTGGTTATATTGACCAATATGAATAGGTTGTCAGTCTTTTCGATGACCGGTGAATATGACCAAACAGTCTATGAGCGACCTGAAATCAATACATGCAGAAGAATCTACTCTAATCTCAACGGTAATACGAAGGACAAGAAGAGACGGACTGTTGACAGTGAGTTTATACTGTTTCAACAAAAGTGAAAAACGATTGAATGTGGTGTTGAATATGTACCATCATTCTAAGTGACCTTGACAACAGTAAATTCCCCGATAGGTTAAAAGAGAATAACAATAACCAAATGAGAGTTGAGCATTTAGACCATGCAGCAAACAGTGAGGAGCGAGAAGAGGGGGGTACGCTTGCCAAGTCAACGAAAATAGCCTAGAAGATTTGGATTTCGCCGATGACTTGTGTCTAATGTCACACAAACTAGAATATCTAAAGGTGAAAACTAACAAGTTGACAAAAGAGGCAGGACCTCAATTGAATGCAGAGAACACACAGGTAATGAAGACACCCATCCAACAACAACATCAACACCAAGCAACAATCACAATCAACGGGAGAAACTTAAAGGAAATTGTCTCTTTCATCTACCTGACTAGGCAGGGCAGCATTGTTTCAACTACAAGCGGCACTAACGAGGACGTCAAAACTGAGATCGGAAAGGCATCAAGACAGGTGTTCATTAACCTGAAATCAGTGTGGAGATCTACTGCACTGCACTCAGCATAAAGCGTGAACAACATTCGGATTTTCAACACTAATTCAGTAAAGTCAGTGCTTCTATATGGTTCAGAAACTTGGTGTATCACGAAAAGCATTTCCAACAAACTACAGACATTCATCAACAACTGTCTACGCTCGTTACTAAAACTCAGATGGCCAGAAAGAATAAGCGACAGGGAACTCTGGCTGGCGACAAACCTATCACTCAACAAATATGCAGTGGAAGAAGGTAGAGATGGATTGGGCATACACTGAGAAGACCATTCGGGTACATCAGGCATCAGGTACTTGAGTGGAACCTTGATGGAAAACGGCGAGTTGGACGTTCAAGGTGAGGATGACATAGAGGAGGTGATGTGGGGAAGAAATGAGAGCTTCTGGGCTGTCATGGTACCAGGTTCAAAAGATTATAGAGAACAGAGTGAAATAGAGACGTACTACTGAAGCCTTGTATGTTCCACTAGGAACCCAACTGACAAATAATAAATAATCCGTAATTTTAAACTGTATGAATCATATTCAACAATCAACAAGTTAGAATTGTCATTTTCAAGTTTTCAGGTTAATATTCAACAATATGGAATGAAAATTAGTTGGATAAATATCAGTAACATGAAAACACTGAAAAGGTGTTTCGACTTACTATGAGACTACTTCTCAATAGTGCATATCCCAATGGGTCTTCGTTTGAAACGACTGTAGATGCCCATTTCATCCTGTTTGACAACCACATCAGCTGATTTCATATAAACTTTAGTGAGTATTGATGTTTCTGTTAAGTTTAGAAGTCAGCATCATCATCATCACAAATCACCCATGAATTGGACTTACATTTGTTATTTGAGTAGTATACGTTTATTTATAGTCTGTTCACGTATCCTTTTGTTTAAAAAAAAATCAAGTCTTGTCTTGTTTCATCAGTTGAAAATGATGATTTGCCTTTATATAGGACAGTTAGTGAACCCGGGTAGGTCACAAAGTAGTTGGTGAGTTACACTAGATTTCCTCTTAATTCCTTTTGCATTTTCGCCTTGCAGCAC